AACCCTAGAGAAAATCTACCATATAAAGTGTTGCTTGTGATGATCCATAGTTGTTTTCGTCACTCAATTGTCTTTATATCTCCTTTACTTATTGTGTTCCAACCAGTGACTTATTTCTCTCATCACACTGGGAATCCACAGCCTTATGGTGCCTTATACTCACATTATTGTGATTCTCTCCAGGTGACTTATTTCTCTCATCACACTTGTAATCCACAGCCTTATGGTGTCTTATACTCATGTTATTGTGATTCTCTTCAGATCACCTGTCCTTGCTTATTTCATTATACATATATATCCTAAGGGCATGTTTGTGTAAGAAAATTCTGCCCGGAAGTTGCATTCTGCAAAATATAAAAGGTGTTTTTTGTTCCATATGTTCCATTTTTGCATTGTGAAATTTACATCTTGTTGATTCTGATTCAAATATGCCCAAGCAAGCATGTCCTGAACTCATGTGCTCACTATACTATGTATTTGATGCAAACAATAGAAGAGAGAGTTTTGCAAAACTCTATAGGCTGTCTGGCCTTTGTACCCACATCCAACTTTGATCCTTATTTATTGTTTTTCCAATTTCATTTCATGTTTTGTGTTTTTGTGAATTTGTCTCCAGAAAACCTGTGGTAGCTATCCATAAACTTGCTGATTTTTCCACCTCCACATGGGCAAGTGAGATGAGCCATACACATCTAAACATATTATGTCCACATGATGAGGATTGCTTTCAGAAATGTTAAATCCAGTTTCAAGATATACCAAAGAATAACAACTTGTATGGCTTTGATCTTATTGGCTCACAGAGATTTGACATCATAATGCCTTATTTTGAATGATGTTAACCATAGAACAATATCATTATTTTATGTTTGTGTTTACACACTTGAATGACCACTACACACCCTGTCCACCTGAGATACTCTCAGCGACGAGAGCAAGCCACGCCACCCTTTGAAACATCCTGAAAGCACTTTCAATTCCCTCAGAAAGTAATTTGTAATCCGGAACCTTTGTTCTTGGGTCCACCTGCGCAATTCTTGATCCTTTCCTTAGTCTTTGAACTTAACAAAGTTCTTCACGATCGTGTATGTTCAAGGGCGCGGCAAAGCAAGGAGGACACACTTGTGAGAGACTCTGGTTTACTTGGACCTTCTCATGAATTCACAAGGACTCGCGATCGAATCTTCATCCTTTCTAAGGCTACAGATGTTCACGTTTTGTCGGTCTATTCACCTTTCCATCGCTTCTCTTGCCCTCATCAATAGACTTTGGTTCATAATCCTTCACTTTTGATTCATCCTTGTGTAGGACTTCAGGTGTTTGTTGGTGCCGAGCTTCAAGAGTGGCTCTCTGTCCAACTTAGGACCCAAATAAAATGGATCAATCGGACATGATTGAAATTAGGTCGACTATCTGAATATACTTTTGAAAGAAAGCACAAAATTGTCTCTGTGTAGCAAAAGCGAGAATATTGTTCTTGGTGGATGCCGTTGTGCTCAAAGAACCCTCTGTTTGGTAAAGATCTGTGTCTATGCTTGATGCCTTTGATAAAGCAAAT